GATTGGAACACTCTCCGAGTTTTCGCGGAGTTTTTTCCTTTTTTGCCGGCTCCCTGAATAACCCCATTAAATGTGGAAGTTTTTTCGGTTCTTTAAAAAAAACTACTCTCAGAAATGAGTAGAGCTCCGAGATCCCTCATGTGTTACCATTAGACTTCTTACAGGATTTAGGATATGTCTTCGCAAAGTCCGAGAGTTTCGATAGCAAAAGACTCAAGTTTTAATAGGGGTGGGGACAAGCAAAAACAACTGTCGCGAAATTTTGTTCATGCAAGCGTCTCGAGGAGTTAAACTTGTGGGATGAGTGTTGAAGATGTTGCGCCGCTATCAACTGAGCCTCGCGGACACTAAGAATTGTACACCGTTACGCTGAAAAATCTTCTGTTCTCCTCCTTTAAGAATGTTGCCCATTTTGCTCGTGCGGAAAACGTAACAGATGCGTATCTGGCTCTAGAAAACAAAAAAGACTCACGCAGAGGTAGTACACAACTTTAATTCTCCACATTTTGACGCAGTGAATCGAAGTCTGAAAATTTAGTTTTTGAATTAGGGGATCAGAAGAACATATAGAGTAAACACTCTAATAGACTTTGAAACAATTTATCTCAGTTTCTGTGAAAGATATCAAGAAGTGTTTGATTGACAAAATATCTCTGACATTATAATAAACACTTAGTCCGTTGACCACTTTTTGATATCTCTTACAGAAATTGAGAAATATGACCTCAAAGTAAACGGTACGGATGGTATTGTATTAAAGTGTTTACAGTACATAACTAACGACAAAACTGTATGAGAGGCATGATATCTACGTGGTTCATTTTTAGGCCAAAATGCAAAAAAGTGTATGGGAAAGGGGGACCGGGTTATGGTTTTCTATTTTATCTCTATTCAAAGCATCAACGAGATGCAAAAATGATGGGAAAACGATTGGGAGAACACTGACCACCTATTGGTTCTATTTGCAATCTTCTATTCGAAAGTGGGCGGAATATTCGAGATGGCACGGTTCCGTGACACATTCGGAGGGTGTTTTCCATGTTTTGCTGAATCATATCTGAAAAAAACAATGTCGATCACCAAATTCATCACTAAATTTCGTAAGATTAGTCATAGGAGTATCTACTGGCTAGATGAAAATAAATCTGATGGGAATTGTAAAAACTAAAAAAACGGGGGACTCACCAATCGAATTGTGAATTCGATTTCGGATTTCTGAATATGATAAGGATTATATTTAAATAACAGTGTAGTGAAAACGTCATTTTGCCCAAGAGCATCTCTGTTGGGCTGGCGAGGAAGTACACGAATGGTGTCACATTGGTGAAGAATAAGAAGAAAACGCTAGGAAGAGAGGGAACACGGAGTGAGAGATAAATGGACATTAGGAGGATTAGAGAATAGGTGGCATTGCGTCATTCAACTTCTGTTGAGTAACACCATATCAAAAAGTATGACCTGAAGAAGAAGAAGAAGAAGAAGAGCCGCATGCCACATTTGAATTATACAGTAATTCTTGGAGATCGGAATCGTTAAGGGAATTTGGGAAAACATTCCTGTTGTTTTTTTCAGAATACCTGGCAGATCCTACTGAAACCTAAAACAGGGTTTGTTAGAGTCGGAGGGCTCAGTGGGATCCGTGGGATCCCAGGCGTTCCTAATGAAGACAGAATTCATAGAGAGGGCCTCCAAAATTATACGGATTTCAAGAGGGTTCCCATTAGTTTTTCTTAATAATTTTTAGATTGGTTGCTTGACACAGTTTATTTCCATTGTTTGGAAAAAATGAGAAAAAAAACAGATAAGAATGATTTGCGATGCAGGTCTTTGTGATTTTTATAATCCTTGATTGTAGAATTTGAACCAGCAGTTTCAGTATACCAGCACTAAATTGTCTTCTCATCAGACCCTTTCTTAATACCTGAACTAGAAATGTGGGCTTAGCATGTTTCAATTTTTCGTTTTTAGATCTGAAAAAGGATCCACTATGTCAGCTACAGAGCAGAAAACGGAACAATTATTCGAAGATTTGCAAAAAGAATCTGACACATTAATTTTTTAAGACGGTTTATTTCCATATTCACAACAATAAAAATTATATTACAGTATCATGAAACCCGCAGTCAGCGCCAGGACTACAGAGTTGTATCAATGAGATTCGGAATCGAAACTTTTCCAATCGAGTCCTTCCTTGTTCAACGGTGTTTTCAGTGCTTCATCTTCTGGTTTAGAAGATTCGCACCTCACAGATATATCTTATCTTTCTCGTCACGTGCTCTTCTTATCTTTGCGATCTCAATTCCTTGTTGAATGTCCCCTTCCAGATTCTTTCAAAGCTTTTCGTCTTTTGTCGCAGAGCACCTTATCTTATCGTCCATCTCCCTCACAAGTGCACCGCCCAAATTCAATATGTGTCTGCTAGAACAACACCTGTAATCCTTTGCGCAACGGACCATTGTACGCAAACACATCTCTTTCCTCATCTGTTGATTGGAATACGATCCGTTTTATGATCCCAAAAGATTTACGACTCTGTTGTTGCATTAGTTCTTGGAGTGAGCTCAGATGACGTTAAACTCCACCTTCCTTCTCTAAATGAGATTCTATGACCTGTTCTCTTATAGTTAGCTCTTCTTGATCGATTTCTTGATTGAACCCACTGCCTTCTGGTCCAGTTGTGTTCGATTTTAACTCAATCAATAGAACGCGCTGTGGGATGTCTTCTTCTTTTCCACAGGGGTCTATTTTACCAGTCAATAGTCGATAAGATAGAACCCAGAATCGTTCATACCTCATTTCATTCCTTCTCTATTCCATTCGATGGTTGACTCTTTCTGTTTCTCCAGAGCTCCTAGATTGATTTCTCTATTTTCCTCACATCACTTTACGATCTATCCTCTCAGCATGTCCCCTCTTCCTATCGTTTTGTATGGAAAACTGTTTCTTGAAGAGGCCTTGTGATCAGGCTGGAATTTTGAGAGGGGGCGTATAAATAATGGAGCTGAATCCTTCTTCTTTTACCATTGTTCTTTTTTGCCAAGTTCTCCAACACAATCGCCCAATTTACAGAGAGAAGATGGCTGGTTACCGAGAGAAGATGGCTGGTGACGAGTCGCTCATCCAGTCGGATCCAAAAGTAGAGGACCGCGTCGAGACACCGTCCACCAAGATGACCGCCTGTGAGCGTCTTCAGAGCTACACCCCAGGATTATTGCTCCAAGTCTTTGCTCTTTTAAAGTTCTCCTTCGTTCTCTATCTTTCGATCAACGGTCGCTGGAACGAGAAGGAGATGCCAATTGTGATTCTGGTGTTGGGTCACAACACTCTTCTTCTCTTGGCTGCCACTTTCCAAGACTTCTGCACTTTGGTCCTCTGTTGGATCACTACCGTAAGTTGACCCCGATTATTTACGCACTCTAACTGTATATTTGCAGTGTGCCACCTTCATCCTGCACATAATACTTCTTGTCACCGTCCCAATTTTCGTCACCAGCTACTTTGCTTCCGATACCGCTCGCACTGTCAGAATCCCCAATGAGTGGAAGCTCTTCCGTGAACTCATCAACTATCAATCGGCTGAGGAGAGAAGATTCAACGATGGGATTCAGAATGGAATGAACGTCGAGATGTTCCTCGTGGTATTGGTCTTCAGTGAGTTAGAAACTTGTAACATACAGATTGACTAATTCCTATTTTTCAGTCTTCGGAATTCAAATGGCCTTGATAAATTCGACACTCAACGCTAAATTGGATCAGTTGAAGCGCGAGAAGCAACTCCGCGAGAAAAGAAATTCTGTCTACTTGGTCTAATTACTGTTTTCAATATCTCCCGTTTAATATAATCACTCATAACGTTTATCCAATAAACCTGCAAATTTGATTCCGTTTTTGTTTAAAATCTGGGTTTTTTGGTCCCAGAAAGCAGTCCGAAGTGACTCCCAGATCACCAAGATTTCCAATTTGGAAACCAGTGCGACCGTAAGCCCATTTTTGTAGGTCGAAACCCACAAAAATTCATATCATTCCTATTTCTTCTTCCATAAACTATTCCGACAAAATCCACAATGGAAGACACGAGACAGTTTCGATTGTACGAATCACTGATGAACTTTGGTCGGCTTGTCAGAGAAAAAAATCACCAACTCCCCCATGTTTCCAATCTTTTTTGCCACGGTGCAGTTCTGTGTCGTCGCCTCTATTTCCCTTTCCATTCAGTTGTTCACTTTTTCCAACAATGTGCGAGCCTCCATCTTTTCCTCCACCAGCGTACGAAGATTCATCTCCTCCACCATCTGCTCCAGTAGATGAATCTACACAAGTTGCTGTTCCAATCGAAGCACCACCAAATGACCGATATCCCGGAGTTTGTAAGCCAGATACTGATGTTCGAACTGCTATTTTCAATTTCATGCTGTGGAATTGGTTCTTCACTACTCCGATTATGTACGTTGCTCGTATCTACGGAATCTTTGCCATTCCATTCAACTACAATGTATTCGTTACGGCAGCTGTCACATATCAACATCCAGATTGCTTGAAACTTCTGATGCGGTTTGCTGTAAGCCATTGGTAACTAACATAGAAACATGAAAAAGTTCCAGAACACCTTCCAAGTTATTCTTTGGACAGCCGGCCCTGTATACTTCTTGTTCTATATCATAACTTACAAAAGTTCATCTGTTTTAGAATTCATCACTGTTTTCTGTGCCATTGTTTACTTCTTGGTTGCCTCAGCCAGTAAGAACCTATTGAAAGATACAGTAAAAAATCTGAAAATTTTCAGCGATGCACCACCAAGAAGCCCTTGCCAAACAAGTCAGAGCATTGGTCCAGGCCGAGAAAAAGAAAAAAATGAATACTAATCAAGCTTAAGAAGTGATCTAAATATAACTTTTATGTTGAGAAATGAAAATTCGCAATCCCAGTAGAATAAAATGTGTAATGTTTATCTTGAACAAAAGTGTACTCGAACAACCAAGTGAAGAATGATTCAATCTATTTTTTTTTCTCCGAAAGCTTTCTTGCTGAAAAAACAAGGTTTTCTTCCCTTCCTCGATATCATTCAATTAGTCTTCGCTCTACAAAAGTTTTCTAGATCTGTCAAATTTTGTGGCTTTACAAAAGTCTTTACCGTACTCCTCTAATAAAAGCCCACCCAAACCGTCAACTTTCAGCTCTATTATCTCGATTTCTGTGAAAGATATCAAAATTTTGGAAACTATTAAATTATTTATCATGATATCAAAAATATTTTATCAGTTGACAAGTTTTTGATATCTGTCACAGGAATCGACATAATTGAGCTCATAGTGGACGGCAGAGATGAGCGGAAGAGATTTACGGAAATTTACGGAAGACGGTTTATTTTCAAAAAAATGTTACCAAAAAGTTGTGATCGGGCAAAATTTAGATCTCAATGAGAGTTATTTATTCGTATAAAAGTCATCTCATAATAGTGATGGGCATACTTGTAATCCGGGCCTTTGCCGGGTCTTCGCGGGCCCTGTCATAACTTCTTTCAGAATCAATGTTTTCGAACCAACTGAATCAGGTATGATAGAGCTCCACGAGTACTACAAAACGGTATTATTTGGAATACTGTATCTTGTCTATGAAAAGAGTTACAGAGCAAAAGGAGCAAAAAAAGCAGGCTCGCCCCGGGCCTGCCGGGCCCTGCGAGAAAAGCCACTTTATGATCTGTAGCTTTGTTCATAGATAAGATACAGTATTCCAAATAATACCGTTTTGTAGTACTCGTGGAGCTCTATCATACCTGATTCAGTTGGTTCGAAAATATACATTCTGAAAGAAATTATGGCAGGGCCCGCGAAGGCCCGGCAAAGGCCCGGATTACAAGTATGGTGATGGGGAGTTGAGATATGGCGTTTCTTCCATGTTCCGTCTTCCGTCTGGCACACGGAAGACATAAGACGGAAGAAAGACTCTATTTAAATAATCAAACAAAATTTCGAAACAATTTTTATACCAATAAATAACTCTCATTGAGATCTACAATTTGGTCGGTTGACAGCTTTTTGGTTAGCATTTTTTCATTTCGAAAAATAAACCGTCTTTTCGGTAAATTTCCGTAAAATTTTTTCCGCTCATCTCCTGTGGACGATTATATAAACTTTTTCGAAATTCGCCTTTTTTCAGTTTGAAACCAAAATCTCCTTTAAATGAATTATTTTTTTAAACTTGTCAACTACAAAAACAATAACCTATTTTCGATTGATATTCACTGAAATTTTCAGACCAAGCAATCAATTTCTTACCACTTTTGTAGAGCTTTAAAGATTGCAGTTTCAGCTGTAAATGTCGAAAGAGTTTTGTCTGCTATTGTAGATCAAATGATTTGAATACGATCTCTAATTTTTTGGGGTCAAATGTCTACAACAAACTGTCTGTTGCACCGATAACCGGGTACATTGTTGACCACTCATTTCCCCAGGAACCCTCCTTCTCTTCACCTGTCCAACCCCAAACGTATTCCTTCATACTCCCTCTGTTCTTCTCTCATTTCTTATTCTTTTTTGTTACAGTCTAACTCTATTAACCATCTACCAAAACCATGACGGTTTCCTACGAAAAAATGAACCCACCATATGAAAATGCATCAGTTCTACGAAGAATTCGAAAGGTCGATTGTCGTGTGTGGTTCTTCATGCTTATCGTTGGAGGCATCGCATTCGATGTTACCAAACTGGAGTATTTGGTTCAATATGGATTCAAAATCAATACTATTCACATTCCAATATACCTGATTTTCAACGCATTTCTCATGTATGCAGCTGTCTGGAACCACAGAATCCCAATGAAAATTGTCAAAGTTTATTCGGTAAGTTTCAAATTTTCAGTCAGTAGAACCTAAAACTTTTCAGCTTGTACTCCTCCTGTTCTCCACCATCATCGCAACGTTGGCACCAATCTGGATGGTTTTCGAGTTTAAAAACGGCGCTCCAGAACATATTCGTTTTATGATGGAGCATGGAGACAGTCATCCAATGGAGTTTCGTCAAAGTTTGGGATACTGTATCCTTCTAGAGCTGACGCTGGTTTTTGATGCTGGATGTAAGTTATACTTCGTGATTGATAAAAATTGAACTTTTTCTACATTTCAGATTACGCTCTTCAAATGTATTTGGCGCGAAAGGTGATTCAAAAAATCGAATGTGAGAGGAAGCAAACTCCAATCGAGATGGATCCAATTTATGTTGCATAAGACCCTTCCTCGACCTCTTGTATTAATTTCTATTTTGCACCAAGAGCATTTTTTTTGCTCCCTATACATCTCTTCTGTCTTACTATCACTTCATAACACCCTTCCATTTTATCTTGTTTTTTTATGCTCAACCCATTTTCCCTCTCTTTGTATTCTTATTAGAATTTGTTGTTGAAAAACAATAAATTGTTGTCTGGGAACTACATCCAATTTCTTTTTCATTGCCAATGGCAACCGTTATGGCTTTTTTGAGTCTGAGAGCGTCATCGAAATGGCAGCCGGGTCACAAGACATGAAAAAGAGCAAACGAAGAATCGTCATGGTTAAAATTCGAAAGTTTCGAGAATCCCACAACATTTTCGAATAGAAAGAATCAAGAAAAAAGCAATAATTGCTGGTTCCCACTTGGGTTCAAGCGAGGGGGTCAGAAAGCGCGCCCCAGCAAACTCGTCGGCCAGAAGAAATTTAATAAATTTAAAGTGGACGCGCACTTGAGTTCAAGCGAGGGGGTCAGAAAGCGCGCCCCAGTAATTTTTCAAAAATTCTCAATTCGCTGCCGAACTTCGTTGGCTGAGTATCACAGTTTTAA